GGTTTGGTATAAAGCTGAGGATGGAGAAATATAACCAATTGGTTTGTTATAAAGCTGAGGAAGGTGAAATTTAACCACTTGGTTTGGTATAAACCTGGCGATGGGAAAATATAACCACTTGGTTTGACAAAAAGCTGAGGATGGAGAAATATAACCACTTGGTTTAGTATAAAGCTGAGGATGGGTCTGGGGAAAAATTAATACTTTGTTTGGTATAAAGCTGAGGATGGATAAATATAACATTTTACATTTACATTTTAGTCATTTAGCAGATGCTCTTATCCAGAGCGACTTACAGTTAGTGAGTGCATACATTTTTCACTACCCCATGATGTCAAAGTGGAATTATGTTTTTCATTTTTATTAAAAAGCTGAAATGTCTTGAGTCAATAATTATTCAAGCCGTTTTTTATGTCAAGCCTAAATAAGTTCAGGAGTAAACATTTGCTTAACAAGTCATAAGTTGCATGGACTCACTGAGCACAATAATAGAGTTAAACATAATTTTTGAATGACTACCTCATCTCTGTACCCCACACATACAATTATCTGTAAGGTCCCTCAGTCGAGCAGTGAATTTCAAAACAGATTCAACCACAAAGACAAGGGAGGTTTTCCAATGCCTCGCAAAGGAGGGCAGCTATTGGTAGATGGGTAAAAAAAAAAAGCAGACATTGAATATCCCCTTTGAGTATGGTGAAGTTATGAATTACCCATTAGATTGTGTATCAATACACCCAGTCACTACAAAGATACAGGTGTCCTTCCTAACTCAGTTGCCGGAGAGGAATGAAACCACTCAGGGATTTCACCATGAGGCCAATGGTGAATTTAAAACAGTTACAATGTTGAAATGGCTGTGATAGGAGAAAACTGAGGATCGATCAACAACATTGTAGTTACTTCACAATACTAACCAAATTGACAGAGTGAAAAGGAGGAAGCCTGTATAAAATACAAATATTCCAAAACATGCATCCTGTTTGCAACAAGGCACTAAAGTAACACTAACAAAATGTGTCAAAGCAATACATTTTTGTCCTCAATACAAAGTGTTATGTTTGGAGCAAATCCAATACAACACATTACTAAATACCACTCTCCATATTTTCAAGCATAGTGGTGGCTGCATCATGTTATGGGTATGCTTGTAATCGGTAAGGACTGGGTAGTTAAGGATAAAAATAAACAGAATGGAGCTAAGTACAGGTAAAATCCTAGAGGAAAACCTGGTTGTCTGCTTTCCACCAGACACTGGGAGATGAATTCACCTTTCAGCAGGACAATAACCTAAAACACAAGGCCAAAGTGGCTTACCAAGAAGACAGTGAATGTTCCTGAGTGGCCGAGTTACAATCTATGCCAAGACCTGAAAATGGTTGTCTAGCAATGATCAACAAACAATTTGACAGAGCTTGAAGAATTTTGAAAAGCATAAAAATGGCAAACGTTGCACAATCCAGGTGTGGAAAGCTTAGACTTATCCAGAAAGACTCACAGTTGTAATTGCTGCCAAAGGTGCTTCTACAAAAGTATTTACTCAGGGGTATGCATACTTATTTAAATAAGAGATTTCATTTTCAATAAATGCTCAAACATTTCTAAAAACATGCATTCACTTTCTCATTATTGGGCAGATGGGTTAGAAAAAAATCAATTGAATCCATTTTGAATTCAGGCTGTAACAACAAAATATGGAATAAGTCAAGGGGTACAGTTGAAGTCAGAAGTTTACATACACCTTAGCCAAATATATTTAAACTCAGTTTCACAATTCCTGACATTTAATCCTAGTAAAAATTAATTCCCTGTCTTAGGTCAGTTAGGATCACCACTTTATTTTAAGAATGTGAAATGTCAAAATAATAGTAGAGAGAATTATTTCTTTCAGCTTTTATTTCTTTCATCACATTCCCAGTGGGTCAGACGTTTACATACACTCTATTAGTATTTGGTAGCATTGCCTTTAAATTGTTTAATTTGGGTCAAACGTTTCAGGTAGCCTTCCACAAGCTTCCAACAATACGTTGGGTGAATTTTGGCCCATTCCTCTTGACAGAGCTGGTGTGACTGAGTCAGGTTTGTAGGCCTCCTTGCTCGCACACCCTTTTTCGGTTCTGCCAACACATTTTCTATAGGATTGAGGGCTTTGTGATGGCCACTCCAATACCTTGACTTTGTTGTCCTTAAGCCATTTTGCCACAACTTTGGAAGTATGATTGGGGTCATTGTCCATTTGGAAGACCCATTTCCGACCAAGCTTTAACTTCCTGACTGATGTCTTGAGATGTTGCTTCAATATATTCACAATTTTCCTTCCTCATGATGACATCTATTTTGTGAAGTGCACCAGTCCCTCCTGCAGCAAAGCACCCCCACAGCATGATTCTGCCACCCCTGTGCTTCACGGTTGGGATGGTGTTCTTCGGCTTGCAAGCTGCCCCCGTTTTCCTCCAAACATAACGATGGACATTATAGCCAAACAGTTCTATTTTTGTTTCATCAGACCTGAGGACATTTCTCCAAAAAGTATGATCTTTGTTCCCATGTGCAGTTGCAAACCGTAGTCTGGCTTTTTTATGGCGGTTTTTGAGCAGTGGCTTCTTCCTTGCTGAGCGGCCTTTCAGGTTATGTCGATATAGAACTCGTTTTACTGTGGATATAGATACTTTTGTACCTATTTCCTCCAGCATCTTCACAAGGTCCTTTTCTGTTGTTCTGGGATTGATTTGCACTTTTCACACCAAAGTACGTTAATCTCAAGGAGACAGAACGCGTCTCCTTCCTGAGCGGTATGACGGCTGCGTGGTCCCATGGTGTTTATACTTGCATACTATTGTTTGTACCAATTGTTTGTAACCAATTGGCTTGGCATAAAGCTTAGGATTGGAAAAAATAACCACTTGGTTTGGAATGTTGTGAGAATGGAGAAATATAACCACTCTGTTTGGTATAAAGCTGAGGATGGGAAAATATAACCACTTGGTTAAGTATAAAGCTTTGGAAGTTGGTTATTATAGCAGCTTAGTAATGTAAGGCCTTGGTTATTCTACTGGTTATTATATCACCATAGTAATGGAAGGCCTTGGTTATTCTACAGGTTATTATAACAGCATAGTAATGGAAGGCCTTGGTTATTCTACTGGTTGTAATAGCAGCACAGTAATGGAAGGCCTTGGTTATTCTACTGGTTATTATAGCAGCATAGTAATGGAAGGCCTTGGTTATTATACTGGTTAATATATCAGGATAGTAATGGAAGGCCTTGGTTATTCTACTGGTTATCATAGCAGCATAGTAATGGAATGCCTTGGCTATTCTACAGGTTATTATAGCAGCATAGTAATGGAAGGCCTTGGTTATTCTACTGGTTATTGTAGCAGCATAGTAATGAAAGGCCTTGGTTATTCTACTGGTTATTATAGCAGCATAGTAATGGAAGGAATTGGTTATTCTACTGGTTATTATATCACCATAGTAATGGAAGGCCTTGGTTATTCTACTGGTTATTATAGAAGCATGGTAATGGAAGGCCTTGGTTATTCTACAGGTTATTATAGCAGCATAGTAATGGAAGGCCTTGGTTATTCTACTGGTTATTATATCACCATAGTAATGGAAGGCCTTGGTTATTCTACAGGTTATTATAGCAGCATAGTAAAGGAAGGCCTTGGTTATTCTACTGGTTATTATATCAGCATAGTAATGGAAGGCCTTGGTTATTCTACTGGTTATTATAGCAGCATAGTAATGGAAGGCCTTGGTTATTCTACTGGTTATTATATCACCATAGTAATGTAAGGCCTTGGTTATTCTACTGGTTATTATATCACCATAGTAATGGAAGGCCTTGGTTATTGTACTGGTTATTATAGCAGCCTAGTAATGGAAGGCATTGGTTATTCTACTTGTTATTATATCACCATAGTAATGGAAGGCCTTGGTTATTCTATTGGTTATTATAGCAGCATAGTATTGGAAGGCCTTGGTTATTCTACTGATTATTATATCACCAAAGTAATGGAAGGCCTTGGTTATTCTACTGGTTATTATAGCAGCATAGTAATGGAAGGCCTTGGTTATTCTAATGGTTATTATATCACCATAGTAATGGAAGTCCTTGGTTATTCTAATGGTTATTATAGCAGCATAGTAATGAAAGTCCTTGGTTATTCTACTGGTTATTATAGCAGCATAGTAATGGAAGGCCTTGGTTATTCTCCTGGTTATTATATCAGCATAGTAATGGAAGGCCTTGGTTATTCTACTGGTTATTATATCAGCATAGTAATGGAAGGCCTTGGTTATTCTACAGGTTATTATATCAGCATAGTAATGGAAGGCCTTGGTTATTCTACAGGTTATTATAGCAGCATAGTAATGGAAGGCCTTGGTTATTCTACTTGTTATTATAGCAGCATAGTAATGGAAGGCCTTGAATATTCTACTGGTTATTATATCACTATAGTAATGGAAGGCCTTGGCTATTCTACAGGTTATTATAGCAGCATAGTAATGGAAGGCCTTGGTTATTCTACTGGTTATTATAGCAGCATAGTAATGGAGTCCTTGATTATTCTACTGGTTATTATAGCACCATAGTAATGGAAGGCCTTGGTTATTCTACTGGTTATTATAGCAGCATAGTAATGGAAGGCCTTGGTTATTCTACTGGTTATTATAGCAGCATAGTAATGGAAGGCCTTGGTTATTCTACTGGTTATTATAGCAGCATAGTAATGGAAGGCCTTGGTCATTCTACTGGTTATTATATCACCATAGTAATGGAAGGCCTTGGTTATTCTACTGGTTATTATAGCAGCATAGTAATGGAAGGCCTTGGTTATTATACTGGTTATTATAGCAGCATAGTAATGGAAGTCCTTGGTTATTCTACTGGCTATTATATCACCATAGTAATGGAAGGCCTTGGTTATTCTACTGGTTATTATATCACCATAGTAATGGAAGGCCTTGGTTATTGTACTGGTTATTATAGCAGCCTAGTAATGGAAGGCCTTGGTTATTCTACTGCTTATTATATCACCATAGTAATGAAAGGCCTTGGTTATTCTACTGGTTATTATAGCAGCATAGTAATGGAAGGCCTTGGTTATTCAACTGGTTATTATATCACCATAGTAATGGAAGGCCTTGGTTATTCTACTGGTTATTATATCACTATAGTAATGGAAGTCCTTGGTTATTCTACTGGTTATTATAGCAGCATAGTAATGGAAGGCCTTGGTTATTCTACTGGTTATTATATCACCATAGTAATGGAAGGCCTTGGTTATTCTACTGGTTATTATATCAGCATAGTAATGGAAGGCCTTGGTTATTCTACTGCTTATTATATCAGCATAGTAAAGAAAGGCCTTGGTTATTCTACTGGTTATTCCAGCATTATTACTAGACAGTCAACACTGTACCTCTCTCTCCAAGCACTAGCCACATCCTCCTGAACTACTCACTCAGATTCTGATGAAATATTATACATTACAATAGCTGCCTCTTATGGAGGGCTCCCCGCTAATATTATAGTCTAGGATCATCATCATCATCATCATCATCATCATCATCATCATCAGCAGCAGCAGCATCATCAGCATCAGCATCTTCATCATCATTATCATCTTCATCTTCATCTTCATCTTCATCATCATCATCTTCATCTTCATCACCATCATCATCATCTTCTTCTTCATCATCTTCATCATCATAGTCATTAGTCATCATCATCATCATATGGGATGATTAGAATAATATGGATGCATTTAAAATGTTATATCAGATAAAAATGTAACTATGGTGTTTAGTACCGCTCCAAAATGACAATCACTTGACAATAGGTTCTGAAGATAAAGTAAGCTGGCCATTCTGCTTGACAGAGAATAATACATGAATGTGGTTTGTATGCTTTATTAAGTCCTTATATAGGTACTTTCATACCAGATAAGTTGTAATATGTATGTTTATTTTGACAAAAGGACAAAGAAACCTTTATACATGACAATGTCAAAATGTACTAAAACACTCCAAAAACCATTGGAATATGTCTCCAGTATGTAGTTTAGAGTGGCTAAAACTGGATTAGAGAAGGAATGTTAAGACCATAAAACAATAAATTCTTAGTCAAAATCTAATCTAAACCCTCCGCAGAATTAAATATATTTTCATATTAGTGTTGAAAAATAGATGGAGTTGGGGACAGTAAAGGTGTTGTATTCAATATATGGGCTTTCATGTGCTAAATGGAATGTTATTCATATCTGAGTGCACAGTGTTTTGGGGTTATTCTGCAGGACTGGCTTCCTCTACCATGGGACCCCATTCCTTTTACTGAGAGCCGTTTGAGAAAATCTCAACAGACCTTGATACAATTACTGAACCTTCCTCTCTCCATCTTGTCTCTCATGCCCCCCCCTCTCGCCCCCCCTGGCCCTGCTACAGACCTCACGGGGGAATAGCAGCGACTATTCAGAAGAAGATTTGGTCAGTCAGGCATCAAATGTAGGCCTCTTCTCACACATTCGCTGCCGTGGCGGCGGCGTCAGGGGACCTGGATTGTGCCTTTTCACACACTCCTCTCAGCAGACTCAAAAACCCTCAGCCCGGGGAATAGAGGAGGAGAGAGAGAGAGAAGAGATAGAGAGAGAACGAGAAAGAGAGAGGGAGAGGGAGAGGGAGAGAAAAAGAGAGAGAGAGAGACAGAGAAAGAGAGAGAGATGGATAGAGAGAGAGAGAGAGAGAGATGGATAGAGAGAGAGAGAGAGAGAGAGGAGAGAGAGAGAGAGAGAGACTTGACTTTTTGTGTTTCTTTAATGATACATCCTCATTTCATTAAAACCTCATCCCCCTTCAAAAAGCAAATATCCCCTGTGATGCATACTCACCTTACTCCATGATACAAAACAACACCACACATCACAATAACCAAAACCTCACCACTTCTACAACGGTATATCCAACCCATTCTCCCCAGCTGTACAGACGGCCCCCATGACACACCATATCTCCTGAAACATCTCTACACTTTTTATAACTCAAATTCCACCCTCAGGCGCACAGAGACCATCCCATTAAATAATAAGAAAGGGTCTGTTATCCCCCCACCTTTGACCCTGTTCCTCCTTGTTAGCCGAATAGCCAACTTTGCCTGAGCAAACTGAAAATTCAACAACACACATTTGGCCTTTTCCTTATTCGAAATCGTGTACCCCATTATAAACATCCCGACAGTAAACTCCACCTCCAACCTCTCACACAGACATTTCAACAGAGACATTAATGGCATTAACTTGGCGCACACAGAAAACACATGATGCACAGTTTCACTCATGACACAGAAAGGACACCCCTGTCCGACTCCCGGGTCGACCCTTGCCAACCAGCTGTTAGTGTCCAGGGCTCCATGTAGAACCCTCTACTGGAGGTCCCCTGAACTCTTTGGTACTGGGAGTTTGTAGAGCCCCCTCCATCTAAAACCCACCATACTCTCTGTCCCACATGCCCCCTGCCACTGATGTGCCGTCACTTCAGTTAGGCTCCTAATATTCCTCAACTTAATGCAGAGGATGTATAGGGCTTTACCTCCCTCCCCCTCAAACGCCTCCAGGCTCGGAGTGTTAAAATCTAACAAGTCCTCCAGACCCCCTTGTCAGTCCCCAGTCTCTGCCGTCACCTGCAGTGGCGTAAACATTGGTGGCCCCTCCCCCTTTGGCCGCTCAAACACCACCCTTACCGGCTCAGACAGCACATCCTGGACCTCCCCCAGGAATCTCTCCAGCTGCCGGTCCAACCCTAACCTGCCAGCTCTCCTCAGCAGTGCGGATGCTTGTTCCCTCCAGCCGACATCAGTATGATAAACCGCAAGCTCTCATCAGCAGCGCAGATGCTGGTTCCCTCCAGCCGACATCAGTATGTAACCCGCCAGCTCTCCTCAGCAGCACTTATGCTGGCTCCCTCCAGCCAACATCAGTATGGTACATCAGTCTCTGCGCTGCCTTTAGTCAGAATGCAGCCACCCTGCTCTCCATTTCCACCAGGCCCTGACCTCCTTCGTGTACGGGGGGGGGGGGGCCCTATCCCTCCATGCCCCACATAACATTTAAGTCATTTAGCAGACGCTCTTATCCAGAGCAACTTACAGTTAATGCATACATTTTTTTTTTTTTTTCATACTGGCCCCCCGTGGGAATCGAACCCACAATCCTGGCATTGCAAGCTCCATGCTCTACCAACTGAGCTACAAGAGCTTTGCTCTTGCCCCAGTTCACCTTAGCTGAAGAAGCTCCCTCGTACACCTTCAGACTAGTCTCTAGTGCCTGCATATCCTGCCCATCCCTGACCATTACAGAAACATAATATGTATACGCCGACACTGTTATGCCTGTCAACACACCCATGGCTGTCCAGCACACTCCCTGCAGTCTGCTGCGTAGCAGGCCCAAAAAAGGCTCAATGGCTAGTGTATATAACTGCCCTGATAGAGGGCATCCTTGTCTAATACCCGACCTCACACAGACTGGCCTACTGAGCCCTCCTCCCACCTTGATCATAGATGACGCCCCAGCATACAACATCTTCACACAGGCCAAAAACCTTTCCCAACCCCAAACACAGACATCACATTAAACAGATACTCATGGTCCACTCTATCAAAAGCCTTCTCTTGGTCTAAAGAGACCAGTCCAAAGTTCACAATAGAAACTCTCAACAAGTCCAACATATCCCTATTAAGAACAAGTTGTCTGTGATTAAGCATCCCGGTACACAATATGTCTGGTCCTTGTGTACTATAGAGTCCAGATGGGACTTCAGTCAGTTAGCAAGGACCTTGGCAATTATCTTGTCGTCCGCACAGAGCAATGCCACAGGCCTCCAGTTCTGAAGTTCACACAAATCCCTCTCTTGGGCATTAGAGTCAGAGCCGCCCGACGACAGCTCATCGGCAACTCTCCTACCCCGACGCACTCACGTAACACGCAAAGGAAGTCCAGTCCAATTACAGCAACTCTCCTACCCCGACGCACTCACGCAACACGCAAAAGAAGTCCAGTCCAATTATTCCCCAGAATTTTTTATAAAACTCCACTGGGAGTCCATCGTCCTCCGGTGCACGGCTGGGGGACATCAGGGTTATGGCCTCTGCCAGTTCATGGAACAACAGGGGAATGTCCAGTTCATCCCTCTGTGCCAGAGAGAGTTTAGGGAGTTCTGCAAACAAAACCTGAGCACACATAGGATCACACAGTTCTGCCCTACGCAACTCAGTATGAAACTCCACAGTCCGCTCCCGCATATCCCCCACCACAGAGGTCACCCGCCCATCTGACAACCGTAGAGAATGCATACCCTTGGCTTCACCGCTCTGTATTTCCAAACCAAAGAAGAAGGAGCTGGGAGCATCCATCTACTTGAGCATGGAGAACCTTGCTCTTACAAGTGCTCCCTTTGCTTTAACCTGGAAAAAACTGCCCAGGTCCCTACGTAATTCAGATAATTAGCCTGGAGGCCTACATTTCCTTGCCCCACCAGCTCTACCTCCACCTCACTGATACTACACTCGAGTTCCCTCAATACTCTCCTAGCCTCTGAGGATGAGAGAGCTGTATACTGTTGTCATAAAAGCCACATTGACTTTTCCCACATCCTACCATTGACTCAGAGACTCATACTCCTCTCTTCGCTGCCCCCACCTTTCCCAAAAAGTCTGGAAACCTGAGCAAAAAGTGGCATCTTGTAAGAGCTTTACATTAAACTTGGTGAAATAGACAGCGGAGACATGTTTATGTGCTGCTCCGAAAAACCCACCAGGTGAATGGTAGCACCCAACAGCCTATTGCTCTGATTCCTGGACATGTAAAACCGACCGAGTCGGGCTGCACTCACCCTAGCCCCAAAGACCTTCACCCATGTATACTGTCTTGTGTTTGGATGTCTATTTCTCCAAACATCCACTAGGTCAAACTGATGAATGATGTCCCTTAACACCCCC